TCACACAGGGCAGGAGCAGGCTGACGACAGGGCCTGCGTCTGCTTCTCATCAGTAATCAGGTTCACTCAGCTGAGCCTCAGAGCGAATGCTTAGAGTCCACAAACCCAAAAACCCGCTAGAAGTTCAGATGTGCATTGCTTTAATTCAGCAGCTCCAGAAATACTTACCCAGGGGTGCAGATATGTATGTATTGCAACATTTTTTGTGATTAAAAAAAAGGAAACAACCCAAATGTCCATTAATAACAAAAGACTAAATAAATAATAATATATCCTTAAATGTACTTAATTAGAATCATGATGTGGTTAAACATAATACAGCAGTATTGTGGTATTGTCATGGAAAAATTCCCATAGTAAATTTTAATTAAAAAAATTGACTCCTAAATACATAAATATATATAGCATGATTATCTTTTGGTAAAAACACATATATGTATATTTGATAAAAAGGTATATATATATATAAGCATATTGTACTTATAAGTACTTATATTGTACATATAAGTACTATATATATATAAGCATATATAGGCATATTTATAAGCATATCTAATAGTTATATGGAAACTCTTATTTTTTATATTTTTTTGTCTTGTTTATAATAAAAAGAGAATTGCATAATTAAAAATTTCATTTGGGGCAGTACCTATAGCTCAGTGGGTAGGGCGCTGGCCATATACATGGAGGCTGGTGGGTTCGAACCTGGTCCGGGCTAGCTAAACAACAATGACAACTGCAACAACAGTAAAAAATAGCTGGGCGTTGTGGAGAGCGCCATAGTCCCAGCTACTTGGGAGGCCACGGCAAGAGAATTGCTTCAGCCCAAGAGTTTGAGGTTGCCATGAGCTGTGATGCCACAGCACTCTACCCAGGGCGACAGCTTGAGTCTCTGTCTCAAAATAATAATAATAATAATATAAATAAAAATTTCATTTGGGTTAGAAGTTGTGAAAATCAAGTTTATGAGTTGAAACTTCAAGCATGTGCTTAATCTAACCAGTGAATGAAATTAAAAATATATTACGTATTTATATTTAGTCTTCTTAAGCAGTCCAAGAACTTTCAAAAGGTTAAATACAGCTAAAAATTTCAAATTAATGTACATAGTATCCTTTCTTAACATGGCATCTGGCACACCCAGACAAGGGGCTATTTGTAAGGCTGACTCCCATTGCCTGTATACCCCTCCTCATGGATCAGGGTTCTGAACAATCTTATAGTGGTTTATCATAAGCTCTAGTCTCTTAGGTAAAAGCAAACAACTGTGACCAGCTTCCCTGAGCCATTAGCTACCGTGGGGAGTTGTAGAGCTCTTTTCACATACATGAAGGAAAAGTAATTACCCTGGCAGGCTCTAGGGGCTTTTAAATTGCAATATTTAATTCATGAGATCAGAGCTGCCAAAGCCTCAGTTGGTGCATCAGCAGGAACCGCCAGGAAGGTATTTGGGGTCAGAGCAGATCAACAAGACATCCCTGGGGGAGAAAAATAGTCCTGGTGTACATTTACTAGCTAATCTATTCCTTACATTAGGCTCTGCAAGTGCACAAGGGACTTATCAGCTTATGACCTTTCACCTTCTTGATGCAGCCCTCCTCTTCCTTCTGCCTTAGGCAAAGCCTCCTCTGGGATCCCCAGAGTTCCTGGGCCCCCCTTGCATTATCTGCTATTTTCATTACCTGGTACATGATGGAGGAAGGCGGAGGCTCGATGCATGGCTGCTGGTCAGGGAGGGGCAGCTCTTCAAGCAGGTCCACGTTGGACAGGGCATCTTCCAGGGTGACGTGCGTGGTCATGGCTGCGGCTTCTGTATTCTGCACAGCAGGAAAGGAAGGGAGGGACAATGGAGAATTTCAGGGGCCTCCAAATATTTCTCTCAATCTCACCATGTCCAGGTTCATTCTGGAGAATAAAGTAGGTAGAGACACACTGAGCCCACTACTTCACCAAGTTCACTCTACCTGTATACCATCTATATTTGAGGATCTTTTCATAACTAACAAAATATTTCTCTGTCTATTATCTTGGCTGACTCTTGCCACAATCCTGTGATCAGCATGGAAGGTGGTTCTCCAGCCACAGAACTCATGAAAAAACAAGCCTCAGAGAAGTTGTGTGATGTCCACACAACCACACAACCAAGGGCAAAGGATCCCAAGGAATGCTGGAAGCTAGGACACAGGTCATGGTTAGTCCCCTCACCTTTTGTTCATAAGACGGCTACTTATGAGTTCCATTTGAAAATTATTGCAAACACAATTATCCATGGTCACGACAGTCAAGATAATCAACTGGAAACCAGAGCCTAGGTATTTAGGCCAATTAAGCTGGGACTACAAGAATTCAATTCCCACAAACTAACCTTGATTGCAAGGATGGAAGAGCCATCCTTTTCTTTGGCCTGGGTCTGTTCTGTAAGCCAAACAAGTCAGCCCTAGACATTTTTGTGTCTCAGACCCTGGCAGAGTGCAGCTGCTTCAATGGTAACTCTGGCTGGCAGTGAAGCTGAAGAGGATCTGCACAGCGCAGTTACCCAACTTGAGCTAAATGCTGTTTTAAGAAGTCAGCATCCAGCAAACAGAATACTTAGGTCTTTCCCCAAACATATGTGGAACAATGATGGAAGACTAATCATGATTTAGGCTATACTATGCATATCAGGTTTTCATAGTTTCCTCCAAAAAATGATACCATACCCCAGATGTCACATTCCATGATTGGATTGCAATTCAAGGAAATTAGAATTCAATAATGCAAATTACAGCAAAAAATTCTCTGAGAATTCACAAAACACATTTAAATTATTCATACATAAAAGACATTCAAATAGAAATGATAAAATACTTAGGACTGAAAGGTAGCACGAGTACACGTCTCAAATGCATTTAGTAGAAGATAAGAAAAGTGGAACTAAATGGACTTAATGTTTCACTCAAAAATCTTAGGACGGAACACAAATTAACCCAGAGAAATGAAGAGTAGAGGGATTGATAATTACAAAAGTAGAAATAATGCCCCCCCCCAAAATCCATGCAAAATAAAACACAAATAATAGAAGTGAACAAAAAAACCTAAATGCAAAGTTTTATAAAAAGAGCAATATTAATGAACCCAACCCTTAAACACACATGAATAAGAAGGACACAAGGAGTAGGCCACTATGCTGGTTCCAGAACCATCCTCCACAGCTCCAATCCCAAGGAACTGTGAGACAGGCTTCAGGGCTGGAATTTCTCCTGTGAACTCCAGGGAGTTTGCCTCGCTGGTTGGGAAGTGTGGACATCTAGGAGGAAAGGGACCATCTACATGAGAACTTGGTCCAGAGGCTGCAAAGGGCTGAAACAGCTACAGAGGTCACATTGCTCCTATAGTAGTATTGCCTTTTGGCCCAAGGTTGGGAGGGCAGATCAGGGCTGAGCTGCCACCTGCTAGGCAGCTAACTAGATACATAGTTCACTGGGTTGTCAAAAAGACCCTCCTGTCACGTACACTGGAGACAGAGAAGACCACATTCCACGACGGTATGTTCTATTAAGTCCATTTGCAGGATGGGTTAATGACTTTACTGGCCATAATGATCTACAATCTCCAAAGCCTTGATAATTCTCTTCATTAACTCAAGTAATAATGATGAAACTGACATTTCTTTAGCCCTTACTTACTCTGTGTCAGACACTGTGCCCAGCACCTGACTATTTTAATCTTGCATCTACCCTATAAAGGTAGGTACTATGAGTATTTCCATTTTACAGATAAGTAAACAGAAACTCAGACATTATGTATCTCCTGATGGAAGAAGGTGAAGAAAGCTGGGCCCCAAACAAAACACCTGAATCCAACCAAGCATTTGATACCAATGCAAAGGGAATATGACACTGAGACAAATGACTCAGGGCCTTCAATAAATATATTGCAAGGGGGAGGAAGGGGGAGAGAGAAAGAGAGAGGGAGGGGGAAGATCTTAAAGGGACCCAACACACACTATTATGTGTGGACCTTATCTGGATTCTATTTCATATAAACTAATACAATTGTAACATTTATGAGAAAATTAATGCTGACTGGATATATGATAGTACTAAGGAAATAGTGGGGGGTTTCAAGGTGTGATAATATCAAGGTTATGTTTTAAAAGAGTTCTTATCTGCTAGAAGTATTACTAAAATACAGATAACATGGTATAAGAATATACTTCTAAGTAATACTAGATGGGAGAACAGATACAGAACCATAAGTTACAGATTACTTCTAAGTAATACTAGATGGGAGAACAGATACAGAACCATAAGTTAATAATTGTTGATGGTATATGATGTATACATAGTGATTTATGTACTTTTTTCTCAATTTTATACATGTTTGAACTTTTCCATAAGCCCTCCCCTAGAGATTGGTTTGTATGTTCCCATGTCTTGTGAACCTTCTCTTCTTTTACCTATAACCAGGTTTCTTCTGGGCTCCTCAAACTTGAAAAAACTCATTTACCAAAATAACCCTTAAGTTTTTCCCCTTCAGTGTAATGGTACCCCTGGAAAAGAATCAGCAAGTGACCCACCTACAAAGTCAATAAATTAAGAGTCTTTGTTTAAGCCAATGCAATCTTGCCTGCAAATACAGCTTTTCTAATGGATTTAGGTGAGTGTTTGTAGATCATTCACTGCCTAAGAGAGAAGGAAATTAGAGATTTTTAGCTCAAGGGCTGGAAGTCACTGCCAAATCCACATCAATCAGAAGGAAAAAATGCTCTGGAAATTTGAACACATGAAAATAAGCACACACTTCTTTTCTGCCTGAGTGTGCTGCCTGTGATGCAATCTCCCAGATGAAAATAACTCCAGCTATGAGCATGTGGCCATTTTGTCATTTTGGAAAAGAAATTAATACAATATTTTAAAATTAACAGCGTTCTGGGAGCATCATGTGTTTACCAAACACAGCAGCAACTTCTCAGTGTGGGGCATTCATGGTAGATTTAAATTCAGCGTCTTCCTAACAAACTCAAAGTCAGTAGTCTGGTTTCACTGATAGTAGAGATGTAACACTGGGCTCCCGGCAGTTTGCTTCAGGGGAAGGCTTTAGGGGGCCCCCAAGTCTGAGATGACTTGACAGACCCTAAGCAAGTGGGGATGGCTCCACAATTGCAGGACTGGTGCCAGGAGAACCTGGCTTGGGGAATGGAGGTTCAGACATCCACACCCTAAACCCTGCTGCTCCCTAAGCAAAATATTGGCATTGTCATTTTCGGTTTGACTTTCTGGGGGAAAAAAAAGAAAAAGTAAGATATTTGTACTGAAGTAGAATGCTAGCCTAGTATAGTCGGTAAACTTGTGTTTGGGGTTTAAATCTTGTTATTTGCCACTTATTACCTGTTTAACCATAGCTAGCACGTTACTTTAACTACTGTGAAACTCCATATCTGTAAATGGGTGATAATTTAAAATAGTGTCCTCAGCAATTTATTCTCAGGATTATATAAGTTTACCACATGTGGAATATATAACATAGTAGCTAACAAGAAGAAGCATTCAGAAAATGTTACTGTCACAAGACAAAATTACAATGATTAATAGATCAAACTGGCTTGTAATATCAGTTGATAAATTGGGCCAGTCTCTATTCCACAAAAAAGAATGAAAACTCCCATTGGGCAAGAGCAAACTGGTGGGTTTTGTAGGGTGGAAACAAGCAAATAAAACAATAGAAAAAAAAAAGCTGATTGGTTAACCTCAGGTAAATTTTTTGTATGAATTAAAGCAGAGGAGACTTGCTTATTATGCTGACTTAGGTAGACTTGAATCTCTCATTTTCAGAAAGAACTGACCTGTTTGGGAATCTCTGCTTTCTTGAAGTTTCAGTTTGGTTATGTGGCATTTAGGATCAGTGACTCTATTTTGGTTCAGTCTGCTCTGTTGGGGCCCAGTGTAGGAAGCTCAGTCCAAAATAATGTCATCCTATAATTTTGCTTAAGATTAGTTAGTTTCTCGCCTGTTTTTTTTTCATGTTCCAATAAAACTTTATTCATACAATAAGTGATGGGCTAAATTTGGCCCATGGTCATAGTGTGCCAGCTCCTGCTATAGAGGGTATATTAAAAGGAAGATTGTAACTGAATAATGTTCATTTAAACACCAATATTTTTATTGGATTAGAAGCAATGACTTCAGTAATGGTCAAGTTATTGCAACAGTAAACTTTATTTTTTATTAAATCATAACTGAGGGAGTAGATGAATGGCACATTGCAACAATTCTCCTACGAAAAAGGAGGAAGGCATTCTTACTACCCAAATATTCCAGTTCTATAGATCTTTCACATTGATTTTCTCAGTCACAACTATCCTGGAACTTCGACAGGGAAGGTGTTATTTTTGCTGTTGTCCTGACAAGGACACCGTGTTACAGAGAAGTAAATGCTTTCATTCAAAGTCACACGCTTAGCTAGTGGCAGAGGTAGGGTAGAAATGGGATATCTTGACTCTCAGTCCTAATGCCCTTTGTTTCAGGCCATACCTGTTTTTCTACCTTTTAAAAAAGTGCCAAGTACTTTCTTTTTTTTTTTTATTATTAATTTGACTGCCTTTTCTTGTCTCAAGAAGAACAAAACTCCACCAAGCTAGAAAGATTAGGCAACTGTCACCTTTGGGTTTCATGAACAAGAGGCCAAGAAATAGTTTCCTTGTCTGTAGAGCTCTCCTGCTAGAGGCTAGATACACATATATATACAAGGGATATCCACATACATATGCATATTCATATATACAAAGAAAATATTATGTAATAAATATATAAATATAAAAATAAATGAAAGGGAGGTTTAGATTGTTACTAATAAAACAATTTCAGTCATGTGCTGCATAATGACACTTTGGTTAACTGAGTGTGGTCCCATAAGAGTACAATGCC